ACTGGCATGGAGAAAATTTGCTTCCTGACCCCAACGTGGTGATCGGCATTTCCCTGGGCGTGTAAGAAAGGGCCACAAGAACTAAGCCCTGAGGCAACCCTTCCTGCCCTCCCTTCTCGTGATCTGCCTCAGTTCAGAGATCAGTTCCCCTGGGGAAAAATGGCATTCCACCACACTGAGGTCCCTGTCCTCCCCAGGCTCTACCCCCAACTCTCCAGGAGTTCCCCAGGCCAGAGAGGGCAGCAGCCCGTCTCCTCCGGCCCTGCCTTGGCTGGCCCTTTGCCCGCCCCCTCCCTCCCTCCCTGGCAGCCTGCAACCAACTGTCTTACCATCAGGGGTCATTTCCTGCAGGAGCGCACAGGAGCAGAGCTCCGACAGTAAAGAGCCCAGGGGGCGGGCACATGCAACAAGCCCCACCCCCCCTGCTCCCAGCAGCCCTCACTCAGAGCAAGAAGCAGCCAGGTAAGCTGTAGAGCCCCCACCCAGTCCAAAACAGTCTGGTGGCAGCTTTAAGACCAAGTTTTATTCAGGTACCAGCTCTCCCTCCTCTGCGAGGGCAGATCTGCGCGTTCCCCCCACCCAACAGCTAGCAATCCAAAACAGTCCAGTGGAGCCTGAGCGGTGGCTGTTGCCTTCTGACTCACTTCCGGTGATGTCAGGGTGTGTGGCATAATGCAAATAAGTTATGCTAATGGGTTATGCTAATGAGCTCCTGCACCTCCTTTTCTACGAAATGACCCCTGCTTACCATGCGACACCTTCCCCTCCGGGCAGAAGCATCCCTCCACGCAGGTGAGGGCCTGGCAGTGTTCGGGGGGCTCCAGGCCAAAGTTCTTGCAGGACTGGGGGCAGGCAGGGCCACAGGGATCGTACTCCAGCCCATGGTCACACTGCAGGGCTGAGAGGACACAGAGAGGAAGGCACAGAGCCGAACGTGAGCGCCTGGAAGCTGCGCCAGGGACTACGGCCCAGCAAACCTCCTCACTTCCAGGAGGACTGCCCGGGCGAGCGATCTTGGGGTCGTGGTGGAGGAATGGAGGGAAAGGTCAACTCCCTCGCAAACGGGCCTGCCGGCTGCCGCTCAGTGACCCTCCCCAGCAAGGCAGTTCTCTTTGGGCTCCAGCCCCTTGGCCAGTGTTCGCCCAGGAGGCCCAGGGAGCACAGAGGCTTCTGGGAAAGGAGTCTCTGTTTCCTCCCCCCCCCACCTCCCATAGGAGTACCAGGCTTACAGCTAGTGTCGCCAGCCTACAGGTGGGGCCTGGAGTTTCCTCCCAGGATTAAAGCTGGTCTCCAGATGACGGAGATCTGCTTCCTTGGGGGAAATGGCAGCTTGACAGGCTCTGCGGCATCGCCCCCCTGCTCAGCTCCCTCTGCAAAATCCCACACACACACCACCGGCCCTGCCACCACATCTCCAGGAATCCCCCAGGCCAGAGCTGGCAACCCAACTTACGGCACAGCTCCTGGCTCCTCCAGCGCACGGCCACGCCCCGCTTGCTGCACTCCTCGGCATAAGTGGCAATGGCCGTGCACAGGCACTCACAGTCTCCCCCCGAGTCACACCTGGGGGTGGGGAGAGAGAGCGGGGGGGGGGCTACATCAGAGGGGGGGCAGCCAAGGGACACCCCAGGACACTCTTGGGGGAGGGGCTATCTGGAGGAGGGCTATCCTTGGAGTCAGTGTGGGAGGGGGGAACCTGACCAGGTCCAAGGAATCCCCCAGGGGTATCAGTGGGGCTCCCTTGGGGCCAGGCCAGGAAGGGAGAAGAGACTGGATTCATACCCCATGGCCTTTCACTACCCAAAGGAGTCTCAGAGCGGCTGACAAACACCTTTCCCTTCCCCTTCCCCTCCCCACAACAGACAGGCACCCTGGGAGGCGGGTGGGGCTGAGAGAGATCTTTTTCAAGGACAGCTCTTGACAGAACTACGGCTTGCCCAAGGCCATCCAGCCATGTGCAAGTGGAGGAGGAGTGGGGAATCAAACCTGGTTCTCCCAGATATAGATGAAGAAGAAGAGATTGGATTTGTACCCCGCCCTTCACTACCCGAAGGAGTCTCAGAGCGGCTTACAAACTCCTCTCCCTTCCCCTCCCCACAACAGGCACCCCCTGTGAGCAGTGTTCCCTCTAAGCTGAGTTAGTGTGAGACAGCTCAGTTTTTTAGCCTCCGACTCACACATTTTTGCCTTAGCTCAGGAAGGAGGGCACCAGAGCAAACTAATTGATGCAGTAGCCAAATTGCTCCCTCAGGAGCTCAGAAAGTAGAATTTTTTTCTCACAAGAAGACTCCACAGCTTAGAGAGAGCATTGCCTGTGAGGTAGGTGGGGCTGAGAGAACAGCTCTGAAAGAACTGCATGTGGAGGAGTGGGGAACCAAACCTGGTCCTCCCAGACTAGAGTCCGCGCCCCTAACCCCTACTCGCTCCTTCCCGTGAAACACGTGGCTGTTTCTCACACACACCCTTCCCTCCAAACTATCTGGATAGAAGATGTAGAGCATGAGGAGAACAGCCAGAGGTGCCACAGAAGAAGAAATCCTCGCAGCTGCAATGAGCTGGCCTGTGGTAGTGGTGAGAGAGTTCGCGGAGGTCTGGAGAGACCTGGGTTCAGATGCTCCATGAGCCGCACCTTGGGCCAGCCATGCTCCCTCAGCCTCACTCACCTACCCGGGTGGTCAGAACGGCACAGAGGGGAAGCGAAGGCCACACACACCACCTAGAGATCCTCGGGGAAGCTCCTCTTGTTCCCCTTTTTGGATGACCCTGACCAGGGATGCTTCAGAGACAGCCAGTTTGGTTTGGTGGTTTGGAGCGCGGACTCTAATCTGGGACAACCGGGTTTGGATTCCCCACTCCTCCACATGCAGCTGCTGGTGTGAACTTGGGTCAGTCACAAGTCTTTTCAGAGCTGTTCTCTCAAGGGCTGTTCTCGAGAGAGCTCTCTCGGCCCCACCTACCTCACAGGGTGTGTCTGTTGTGGGGAGGGGAAGGGGAAGGAGTTTGTAAGCCGCTTCCAAGCGAAGGGCGGGGTGTACATCCAATCTCCTCCTCCTCCTTCTTCACATGAACCATCTCCTTCCCTGCATCCCTGTGTGCCAACTACGGTCCTCAGGCAGCCATCTGCTGGCTCTCCCACCACTGAGGGTGGCCTGCCTGGCATCGCCTGGGCCTTTTCCATCGTGGCTCCAGTTGTGGGGAAGGGGCCAGTTTGGTGTCGTGGTTAGGAGTGCGCGGACTCTAATCTGGGAGAACTGGGTTTGATTCCCCACCCCTCCTCCACTTGCACCTGGCTGGATGACCTTGGGCAAGCCGTAGTTCTCTCAGAGCTGTTCTCTCAAGGGCAGTCCTTGAGACAGCTCTCTCAGCCCCGCCTCCCTCACAGGGGGTGTCTGTTGTGGGGAGGGGAGGGAAAGAGAAAGGAGTTTGTGAGCCGCTCTGAGACACCTTTGGGTAGTGAAGGGCCATGGGGTATAAACCCAATTTCTTCTCTTCTTCTTCCTCTCCCTGAAGAAGTGGGGGGGGCTCCTTGGAAATCCTCAGGGGGCACTGCCAGGGCTGCCTGTTTGCCAGGGCTTTTTTGAGGGGGGGTGTTTTGAACTGGCAGGCCTCTTCCGAGGGGGGAGAGATGCCCTTTTTTCCCCCGTCCTTAGCAGATAATGTTGTTAAGGATTGTTGTGAGCTGCCTTGAAGCACAAGGAAAGGCGGGATTCAAATGTTTTCATGAAACGTGTTCGGAGTCTGTCTCCCTTCTGGGGCTGGGGCAGGGAAGGGACTTGGCCTCCACATGTGCTCCCCCACTCCCCCCCCCCCGGGGTGATGGGATGTTCTCAGCCACCTACCCGCAGGCGTCAAAGACACACCACTCGTAGAACTGCTGGCAGGGGAGCTCCTCGCGGCAGGGGGCAAAGAGGTCCTGCAGCAGGATCCCGCAGCGCTTCCGAGCCCAGGTCACCCGGTGGGAGTTCACCTAGCCAGGGTGAGCAGAGGGGTGGGGGTGAGGGGCTTCCTGGCCGGGGCTCCTCCTTCAAGGTATTCTGTCATTCCCCCCCCCATGCTCTTCCTCCCTGCTGCTTAGCCAAAGAGACCCCCCCCCTTCCCTGTCTTGGTCGCAGGGCCAACCCAGCCTCCAGATCACTGCAACTTTTTTGCTTCTCCAGCCAGGGTGGAGGACACCGTGAGACATTGAGGAGCAGCCGGCCAGGTGGAGAAAGAGCCCGAGGGGCCACGGGAACTCTGCTCCTTATAGAATCCTAAAATCACAGGGTTGGAAGGGGGCCATAGAGACCAGCCCCCTGCCCAATGCAGGACCAGCCTAAAGCGTCTCTGACAAATAGTCGTCCAGCCTCTTCTTGAAAGCTGCCACTGAAAGGGGAGCTCACCACCTCCCTGGGCAGCTGATTCCACCTCTGAACCACTCTAACCCTGAAAAAGTGTTTCCTAATATCCAGCCAGTCCCTTTCTGCGTGTAATTTAAACCCGTCGCTTCGGGTTCTCCCCCAATCTCCTCTTCGCCAAACTAAGCATTCCCAGGGCCCTGAGCCTTTTAGCAGGTGCGCCCAAAGGATGAATCCCACCCCCCTTGAGCTGCCCTCCGATGCTCATCGGCTGAGCAGCTTTCCAAGCTGAAACTCAGAAGACAGATCTAAAAGACCCCCCCCCTCTCTGCCTGCTGGGAGGCCACGAAGACTTCAGGTTTTCAGGCTGGTGTGTGTGTGTGTGTGAGACCGGTTTGGCCCTGATTGCCTGAGTTTGGCCGACTGCTGTCTGTATTGCTCTCCCGAGCACTTCCACCACTGTCCACGGACAGATTATGAGAAGCATCCCTCAAGGCTTCCCTGAACTTCCCCGGGCACAGAACCAGGGGTCATTTTGTAGAAAAAGAGGTGCGGGAGCTCATTTGCACAACTAATCTGCATATGCCACACCCCCTGGCAAAGGGCAGGCATGTTTAGAATGCCTTTCTTTCCCTTCCCCATCTGGGGAAGGGAAAGAAAGGCATTTGAATCCCCCCAGGTGGCGGGGGGGGGCTCTGCAGGCCTTCCCTGGCCCATACGCCTGTGCGGGTGGGCCAGGAAAGGTGGCGGGGGGGCCGCCCCGCCCCTGGGCTCCTTACTGCTGAAGCGCCGTTCCAGCGCGCTCCGGTAGGAAATGAGCCCTGCACCGAACGCAGGCACAACGAATACCTTGCTGCCCCCTCTCTTAAGGACCATGTTACGTGACCACACTTCACTTTAAAGACCAACAAAAACTCATGGCAGGGTAGGAGCTTTCGTGAAGGTACCTGAAGACACCGAAGGTATCAAAAGAAGTGAACAGCGGCTCACGAAAGCTCCTACCTCTGCCACCAAATTTTGTTGGCCTTTGAGGTGCGGCTGGACTCTGGCTCTTTTCTACTGCTACACACTAACACGGTGGCCCGTCTTGATCTACCCTTCATGTGTGTCTGCTAAATGCCGTCATGTCACTTCCAACGTACGGCGGTCCTAGGAATGAATGTCCTTCAAAATGACCTATCATTAACCGCCTTGTTCAGGTTTTGCAAACTGAGGGCCTTTGTGGCGTCCTCGATGGTGTCTATCCATCCATCCCTTCTCAGGTAAAGGCAGAGGGTCTCTTGGCTGGAAGAAGAGGCATTTGGATGGTTTCGCACATGCCGAATAATGCACGTTCAATGCACTTTGCAACTGGATTTTACTGTGTGCAACAGCAAAACCCACTTGCAAGTGATCACTGAAGTGCACTGAGAATGGGGATGGTCCCTAGGGTTCCCAGCCTCTACGTAACAGATGTCTAGACAACAGTCATCAATCTACGGAGAAAATGGTTGATCTGGAGTCCATGGCATTATAACTCACCTCCCCAACTCTCCCCTCCCCAACCTCTGCCCTCTCCAAGCTCCACCCCTGAGATCTCCAGGGATTTCCCAACCTGGAGTCGGCAGCAACCCTAAGAACACATCCTGAGAAACAGTCATCTCCTCCTCCCAGAAAATGCCTCTGAGTTCAGGAACGTCTGAACCCCGGGCAGGAGACAAAAGCCCCCTACCCCCGGCTGCCAGCCTGCCACCCCTGTCCTGTCAGCTTGTCCTCCCCAGCCACAGGGGCAGGGGTCCCTGCACCCAAAACTCTTGCAGTGGGGTGCCCATGTGGGCATACCGTGCACGGGTGCTCAAAGTCCTCGCTGTTGACCTCCGGGCACAGCAGGCTGACCCGCCAGGAGTTGCCAAAGAGGTCGGCGGTGGGCTCGACGATACCCTGCCTGCTGACGAAGTCGTTCTCTGTGTCCCCATCGAAGTTCCCACACAGGCCTGCCACACGGCCCTGGTACTTGGCGTCCAGCTTGACGTAGACCCGAGTGCCTGGAGGAGGCAAAGAGAAGACACCAGCATGGACAGCCTGAGGTTAGAGAAATGCATGGGGGAGAGACCTATCTAAGGCCCGTGGCAGCTCAAGAGGATCTCCGCACTCAGAGGCAGGCCGAGCCTGAAGGGCCTTGCTGGGGGACAGTGGAGGAGGCGGCTTTGGCCTGGGACCTCTGGGGGGCATTTGGCGGGCTGTGGTGGGGAAGAGGATGCTGGGCTGAACCGACAGGGCCTCCCTTAGGTCCTGCCAACTGGCCACGGAGGATTCTGGGACACCAGAAGGCCAGAGAGGAAAAGGGGAGGGAATCAGGAAGGGGAGGGGGAGAATGGTGGCCCAGGGGGCTCTCCGAGGCCACTGCTGTGGGGAAACTGCACATCTGCCCTTGTCTGATGAAGACACAAGCATCCTGCTTTCCTTTCCCTCCTGTTTCTAAAATGGCACATTTCTAGTCCTCATGACTACTGAGAAAAACGTGAGTGTGCAGGGCTGCTGTCCTGGAGAGCTAAGGACGCAGGGAGACCTGAGGACTGTAGAGCCGCATCGCACAATGTTGTGGGTGAAGAACAGACCACTGCAGAATTCTGGCAGCAGCCCTGGGGCATGTGTGTGATGATGATGGTGGGGCAAAAGAGCACACACCCCAGCATGCGCACTGCCTCAGTTGGTGGCGTCTTCCCATCTTTCGTCTCAGGCTAGGGGGTCTCCTGCATTCTTGCTTTCCTTGCTCAGTGTGTTCCTGTTGCTTTCCTGCTCCACACATGTTTAGCTCCCTCTAGTGGTCGATTCAATACAACATCACTTAGTGTCCAGCATAACTCCCTGCCGATTTAAACTGCAGGTTTTAACGCGAATGCGGAAGAGCCCCATTTCTTTCCCACTGGCAGCTGCCTTCTGGTCTC